CCTACTATTAAAAACAACACCAAACACCATAGCGTGCCCTGGTGGAATAGACAATGTAGTGATGCTATTAGAGCAAAGAAACAAGCTCTTAATCGGTTCAGAAAAACTAGAACTTTACAAGATGCAATAGCATTCAAAAGACTAAGATCGATAGCTAATAGAATTATCAAATATAGCAAAAAAGAATCTTGGAAACAGTTTGTGTCATCGCTAAATAATCTGACTCCAGTGACCGAAATATGGAATAAGATAAGAACCCTCAGAGGAATCGGGAAACGGCAGAGAATTACTGGATTAGAAGTCAATGGAGAAATTATAACCAACCCTGGAGATATTGCTGAAGGTTTAGCAAAGTATTTCAAGGAAGTTTCTACCTCGAACAATGATCACATCCACAATTATACCTCAGGAATACATGAAAGGTACTGTTCAGTACCAACCGAATTTAAAGGATGTAAAGAACCGTTTCGGATGCAAGAACTAAATTCTGCCTTACAGAAATGCATTGGAAAGTCAGCCCCTGGTTTAGATGGAGTTACTGGCGAATTCTTGAAAAAATTGCCTGAAGATGGTAAACAGCACCTTTTAGAAATCTACAATGAAATATGGAATACCGGTGAATTCCCCTCCTGTTGGAAGCAATCAATCATCGTACCTATCCAAAAAAAAGAAGACAGTATCCAACCAAATGATTACAGACCCATTTCACTTATATCATGCATTTCAAAAACTCTAGAAAGGATGATAAACACCAGACTTATCGATACACTGGAAAGAAGCAATGCCCTCTCTCCACAACAGTTCGGGTTCAGATCAAACCGCTCAACAACTGACCCCCTGCTGTCATTAAGTTTAGAAGCCGAAGAAGCTTTTTTTAACAAAGAACACCTAATTGCAGTATTCTTAGACCTAGAAAAGGCTTACGATAGAATGGCAAGAGGCCGTGTATTAAGAATCTTGGCAAGATTGGGTATTGGAAAGAATATGTGGACATACATCAAAAACTTTTTGACTGGCAGAAAATTTTGTGTACGAGTAGGAAACACTTTCTCCTCCAGTCATTCTTTGGAAAATGGCACTCCACAAGGTTCACCCCTCAGCTCGACACTCTTCCTCGTAGCAATTAACGGTATCACATCCGCTATTCAGAGCCACACTAAATGTTTGCTATTCGCTGATGATATAGTAATCTCAGCGCGTAGCAAATCTTTAGCGTTCATCCAGTGGAAGTTACAAGATACTGTTGAAAAAATGGAAAATTGGACGAAGGAAACTGGGTTCAAACTATCAACTACGAAATCCAAAAGTATCCATTTTTGCAGACAACGAAAATGTCGTGTAGACCCTCATATAAAATTAGGAGACTCCATTATCGAGTATGTAGAAAACTATAAATACTTGGGAATGATACTTGATAAGAAACTGACTTGGGTTCATCATATAAAACACTTAAGAGATGAATGTACAAGAAGAATTGGACTTCTTAAATGCATTGCCCATTCAAGCTGGGGAGCCGATAGAAAGACACTCATCCAAATATATCATAGTGTGATTCGAAGTAAAATTGAATATGGAGCCCAAATATATGGAACAGGTCGCAAAACGTTGCTAAAAATGCTTGATTCCATCCACAATTCGGCTCTTAGAATCTGCACAGGAGCTTTCCGAACTTCTCCAGTCGAAAGTATATATGCCGAATCTGGAGAACCCTCATTAGAGATGAGACGAATGTATTTATCAATGAAATATGTATCCAAATTAAAAGCATGTCCACAACACCCCTTGAGTTCAAAACTATTTGATGAAAGATCTGGTAGGCGAGGACTTCAGGAGATAGAGAAGAGCATATTTAAACAAATGATTTATAAAACGCTATATAATGTGAACATGGATTTGAACACAATTAGACGCATCCCTAACCTCAAAATCCCTAACTGGAAGAACAATAGACCGACTGTAGATGTATCAATGACAAGACGTAACAAGGAATACCCACTGGATATCCAAAACTACTTTTTTGAATTATTGGGGAAATACGAAGGATATAATGTGATATATACCGACGCCTCCAAAATGGAAAATAGTGTTGGTTGCGCTGTAAATATTAATAAAAACCAACACCAACTTCTGTTTAGCTTACCTGGAGAGAGCTCCATATTTACCGGAGAAGCTACTGCGATCATGGAGGCCCTCCATTGGATATCAAATTCCAATGACAATCAATGGATAATAGCATCAGATTCCAAAAGCGTCATGACAGCAATTGGTAACCCATGGCCAAGCAATTCAATTATAAGAGATATATTGAATCTATGGTGGGAATTAAATGAAAGAACGGTCAGAGTGATATTTGTCTGGGTTCCATCTCATTGTGGCATCACAGGCAATGAAAGAGCAGACCGAGCAGCTAACTTAGCAAGGAAGGGAGAGGTACCAGCCATAATTTCAATAGATTGTACCACAGTGGAGGACTGGGTTCACGCAACAAAAAAGAAGTTATTGGAAAATTGGGTAAATAGATGGAAAACTGAAAAGTCAAAATTATTAGAAATAAAAGGAGACTGCAACAAGTGGGCTACTAGCACCAGAATATCCAGAAGAGAAGAAACCATATTGTGTAGAATAAGAGTTGGTCACTGCCTGTTTACCCACGGATACCTTCTTAGAGGTCTAGAACCACCCACGTGCGAAAAGTGTGACAATAAATCGCAGTCAGTTAAACACCTGTTAGTAGAGTGCCACGAGTTTAACAACATCCGGCAAAAATTGAAACTACCAACAACAATAAAAGAGATACTGAGAGACAACGAAGATGGAGTCACCACCCTACTGCGATACTTAATAGAGACGAAACACTACAATAGAATATAGAAAACTAGCCGCCAATGACCCTCTAGGGTAGAGGCGATTACGAATTAAAAAAAAAAAAAAAAAAAAAAAAAAAAAATTTTAACAGAAGAACAGTATTATTATTGATTGTGATTGTTGGAGCCATTTTTTAAACAGCATTTCTTTCAAATTAATTTTACTTTTGATATAAATCCACGCGAGTAACTCAGTTATCTGATACTATGAGATCTGAATGTGGCTTCAATTGGTGAGCTTGTAGTTTTCGAGGTCAGTTGTTTGCATTCACCATCAGTTCGTTGGAGAAGGCCAATTAAACAAATATTTTTCATTTCCTGTTTTAACTTTTAAAAAAGTAATAATTTACACAACATAAAGACATAAGTAAATTTCACCAACATCATAAAATTTTATTGCCGCAACATATACCATTAAGGTGTATAGATGAATAAATCTACGTCACAGTAGATTTTAAACTATGAACTAATTAATGTTTATTTACATACTAAATTTTTTAAATTCGTATTTACTCATATTTTTAAAAAGCAGACATGGTATTGGTCATTTTAAAGTACATATATATTATATATAGACTTCTTTTAATCATTAAAAAACTATTGATCTTCATTTCACATATAGCCTGAATACAAGTTGCGAAATAAAAACTGTGGAAGAGATTTTGTTATTTGAACGAATGAGAACACTTAGGGATTTTAATATATATAAAAAAAGCATTATTGTAATAGTAGCAATAGGACTAATTAATTACAAGTGTAAATATTTTACGTTTGTTAATTGAAATCACTGACGGGTCCACGGAGGGCTTTTGTGTTGAAGCTCTTCCAAAATGGAAAAGTATTTATTTTTTTCATTAGTCCATATTTGTTTCTGTGTATGATTGGAGTTTCGTTCTTAAACATTTAAAATATTTACTCTTGAAAAAAATAAATAATATATCACTAAACCTATATTATTTCTATAATCACACACACACATATTTATATGAGCCTTTCAGTTGACAGAATTACTAACTCCTATTCCAACATTTTATAATAAAGTCATTTTTGTGATATTTCTATTTGGAAAATGTTAGTGTTGCCCAAATGTGAGACCAAGACCAGTCTTGGTCTTGGTCCTGCACAAGAGTCTCGTAACAGTTGTAGTTATTAGCTTATTACCTATTAGCTTATTACTATAGAGATATTCCTGTAATTTTTTAGATAGGAGAAACCTAACTAAGCTCGAATGAAAAATTAGAATAGTTAAATGCAATGCTGAGTCATGCTTTGTCCCCCAAGTGTGGAAGCCAAAGCAGGACTCTAGGAGATCCTAGTGTTTCTTTCCCTGCCGCGCCACTGGTATTGGAAGCCAGTGGAACTAAAATGAATAATAAAAAAATGTTGAAATTGGAGTTAGTAATTATGTCAACTGAGAGGCTCATATAAATATGTGTGTGTGATTACAGGAATAATATAAATTTAGTGGCATATTTTTAAATTTTTTTCATGACACATGCTTAAATTCAGATTCAGTAGCTAGAATATATACGTTATAATTAAAAAAGAGTATATATTTTGAATGTTTAATCATGGAACTCGGATCATACAGTCAATTTTATTTATTTATTTTATTTTTTTAACAATTATTCCAAGACTACTCAATTATTTTATATAGTTTAATTCTTTTCCTTCAAGAGTAATAACCGATAAAAAAATAATAAATAAACTAAGCTCCCTCCCGAAAAAAATTAAACAATAGATACAATACTGATTGCAATTATATAAAATAAATTTACAAATACATATTGAATAGATATATAGAAATTAATTTTCTTTTATATCAATAATTTGAATATTTTTAGTAGATAAGTTAGATTATTATTATGAGGAGGTCTGTATAGTATAATATAAAAATATTTTGAATTTATTAATACAATTTATCAGAGCTATAATACTATAGCTATAGGACTTTTTATTACTTTTTTTAATATCTAGAATAATTAATCTCACAGTAATATTCGATTTTCTTTTTATGTCTATTTCATTATAATTTTATTTTATTTTTAGAGGAATTATGTCTTTTTTTGTTATTGTTTACCGCCTGTAATAGGAGAATTTGCCTCTTGATAGAAATCTGTAAATAAATAAACATACCTTTGCCATCTTAATCAGCCTAAGCTTCTTCAGAATCAAACAGATACGCACACAGCCCGACTCTCAACAATAGTCCTGAACGTACTCGCAACCTCTGACGCCTCAGACGTAGATAACGAAAACTACAGATCGTCGAAGTGGGTAACCGACTGACGTTGGAGTGGGAGCACTGACATGTTCTTGATGATAATCACCATCATCAGGATATGTCAGGGTCATTTGAGCTGTAAATGTTGTGAATTTATCAAGTCATTGCGTTAATAATGAATGAAATCGTGCAGCACAAATACACACTACAAACATGTTTTTATATTTGCCTGAAGCTTACACAATTAATTTATCATGTTTGCCTTAAGAAAACCAGTCGTCACCTAAGGTCACAGCAGTACCGTTCAACAAAAAAAAAAAAAAAAAATTAAGCGAAAACACAAGGCATATTGAATTTTAACAAGGCATATTGGAGTGTTGAATTTTAATACGGTGTTGACCAAAAATTAGAAAAAAAATATTAACAACGTTAGATAATTAAATTAACTAAAAACCTAGTCAAAGCCTCGTTCTATGTAAACATTCATGATTTTTGTAAACCATTTTCCTTTCTTTTCAGATGATGTATTGATATAAAAAGAATTTAGAAAAATATTCATAATTACTTTTATTTTGCTTTGATATCTACAAAATTAGCTGAATTTCTGGCATTTTCAGAAAAAATGTTTTCATTCGAAAAGCAAATTAAAAATGGCCGCCGTGAAACACCTGTGATATTTTTAAAAAAATAGATAATGGTTTTGAACTCTCCACTAAGTAGATGATGAATGGTAAAAAAATTATAAAAATAAAAAAATGCAGAGCAAAATGTTCTAGGTTATTTAAAATAGATAGATCTTGTAACAATGCTTAGACCAACGTTGTTAACAAATCATAGACAATAATCGTTATGTATAAAATATTTATATTATATACTTTATTCTTTCTGTGCTTTTTGAATCAAATTTAAATTAAATGCATTTTCATTTACACTTTGATCCATGCTTCTAAAGTTTAAGTTGACTTGCTTTGATTGTAAGTAGTTTCTTGGTAGACTAAGTCGGTTAAGTTTTGTCACATCAGCACGCCCGCGACAACTTAATCACCCACCTCAAAATACTCTTCCTGTTTTGAGGCATGTCCATAACCGACTCAATTAATCCACAACATATAGGCGCTTGAATTCATATCTTATAATTCACAATTCCACTGGCTCAATCCAAATCCTTCCATAATTTTCTAACGAAAGAATTTCTTACAATAATTATTTTTTTTTTATTATTTTCATTTTGGCATAGAATGTTAAAATCGCAGAACTGAATACTACTCTTGGAAGTTAAATTAGTGGTAACTATTAATAAAAGGTTTAAAAGAAAACTAATTTGGATCAGCTAGCTACTTAAAATATCGGCCGGTAGGTCGACAACTAAGATTAGCATATAGTAGCATGGTAGTATGATACTAAGAGGAAAAGACAATGAATACGACAAAAAAAGTATCTCGTCAAAAATTATTTTTACTATTATTTTAAAATACAATAGGGCTACTCCATTCCAAATCATTCAGCCGGAGTTCAATTAGACATACAATGCCCCCAAATTTTAATGAAAATTTATATATATTACGTAAATAAACAAATATAAAAAATGCCAAATTTACAACATTTGATTTAACATTTAATTACGTACTGTTTGATTTTTATTTAGTCAGTTTCGAGCTCAAATTATTTTCTGAACTTCAAATACCACATAAGTTCAGATTACCATAATTCTGAAACCACTCGTTAGAAATGGATGAAATGTAGCATTTTTCTTATTTGTTTATTTACATAATATGCATAAAAAATCACTAACATATGTGGGGAGGGGATTTTGGATTGTTGGGGGTCGGTTCTGGATGATTTGGCTTGAAATCGCTCAGTATTTAATACCAAGATTTATTTTTTTTACTGTATTATTAAAATAAAGCTTATTATAATAATAAATAATTTAATTTTTAAAAGAAAAGTAATACAAATAAATATTCAAATGACATTTGTAATATAAAAAGAATATGCCTCATTTAGTGGCAGTTCACCATTAAATTCTGAAAAGCCAATTTTTTTTTTTTTTTTTTGCTTGTAAATGAGTGGATAATAATTAGTTCTCGAGCAATTTGTAACAAGGGGCGCTTTGTCAGATTATTTTATTTTAATCACCCTCTAAGGTTTCACATTAATTAAAATTTTCTATTTATTTGCTGAAAAATACGATAAAATATTTTCAAAAAACACGTTTTGTTTTTTTAAATATCTTTTGGTAGTTAGCATTTCTTTGTTTAATAGACAAAATATACTCTCCCACCATTTCCTATGAAAAGACTCTGATTGTATTTACAATTTAGTAACATCGACCTTAAAAAAATTGTAATAACGAGAATTTTTGGAGGAACAATCAGTCATTACTACATACCTTGATAGAACCAACTCAGTTCAATTATTTATTTTATGTGTTTAAAATACAAAATTGTTGCTTTGTTATTTTATTTTTATTTATTTAATATACTTTTAGATTATTATTTAGTAGTTATTCTGCTTCTGTTTATTTTATATTTTCTGTATATACTGTGTGAATGTGGCATTACGTCACCATAACCATTTCTCATGGGATGTTATATTACTAGATAAATAAAAAAATTAATAGTTTTTTTTAAATTTTATATTTTACTTCTTAAAATGGAATATTCCAAAAATATATTTCATTTTGAATTTTAAATTTTTCCTTTGAAATACTGTAAGTATTCAAAATAGAAAGCGCACTTTAAGGACAGCATAGACATTCCAACTAATTAAGAGACTGATATTAAATGAAGAATAATTTAAGAAATATATTTCACAAAAATAAGGAAATATGAGGTAAATTATGCTTTCCACATTTATTTTATCCAATGCTGTCCTATATTTTTCATCGCAAATATTTTAATTGGTGACACCTAAATAACGACGACGAGTTCATAAAACATCCAATTCTCTAACAAGCTTTATTGTTACCTGTGTAAAGACTTCCAACCTGTTTTATTATATATTTATTTCTTATTTTAGACAGTTTTTTAAAATAAAATCATGTGTACATGTTTAGCTTTATTTTTTAATAGTATGTTTAAATATTATATAAAATTAGTTTTTATTTCATCTTTGATAAAAAATTGTTATTAGCCTCTAGAACCACCATATTTCAAAAATAGTCTATATAATTTATTAAAATTCAAATATCACAGTTTTTCATGATTCTACGATGGCTTTAGTTTGATATTTAAACAATTTTAATTCAAATTACCTCAATTTATTATCCTATAACTATCTCTTATCTTGTTATTACTCAACGAGATTGCTTATCTAAACAATCAAAATAAAACAAAACCTTTTAATCAACTTAAATAGCTTATGAGCTGCATAAATAGATAACGGAAACGTTGATAACAAATGAAATATCGTATTATGTAATGGGATAGTTTTGTAGATAACATAGAAATAAATCACATTTATTTATAACTATAATTAATTATAATTTATGTTTCACTTTAAATTATAATTAATATCTCGTAATCTTACTTTCAAATTGTTTTTGTTAGCTTACCATCTTTTAATTTTTCCTACATTGAATTTAATGTAATTGTATATTTTAATGGAACTATTTTTTAATTTTAATCTAAATTTATATATTTTTTAGTACTAGTTGATTTAATAAATGGAATATAGGGCGAAAATGACACACGGATTGATAAGCCCAAAACATTTAATTAATAAATCTCGAAATTTAATAATAATAAGGTTTTTTTATTAAGTATAAGGTCAACCAAAATCATTAAAAATTGGAGTAATTGTTAATTTTATAATTAAAAAAATAGAAATGCATAAAAATGCATTAAGAGAGAACTTATTTATTTGATGATTTTTTCTTACCCCCATGGGATGTGGTGTTGATAACAGTGGGTAGAAAAGGGATCTCTTTTGCTGTAAAGGGTGTATTTTAAATGAGGGGTGGGGAATCGTGAATACTGTTTATTTTTGTTTGTAATTGCGTAAGTCGTTAGTATAGTACGGGGCTCACCAGTGTTCCATAAATATCACGGGGGGAGGGGGTTGTAAGAACCGGCTAACGGGTGTGCACAGCACCGCAAGTTCCCCCCTCACAACCTGATCATAGAAGTTGAAGACAATAAAATTACGAGTTCGCGTCTCGTTGCCTTGGGGGTCTTTTCAATCCCCCGCCCTCACCTCCTAGGTTTGGAAAACCCCCGTATAGCCTGAAAAGAGAGGTAGGAGGGAAAAAAAGTACAGTTCTTTATCTTAGTCAAGTAAGAGTTTTCCAACGTAGGTTTGCTATCTCATAGGTTTGCGTTTTTGAGTAAGTGTTTTGAAAAGTGAAATGTCGACTATTTGATACTATCAAAGAATTTGATTTGCTTCGGGGAAATGAAATACGTGTCATCAGTAATTCGAGGGTGATATGTAGTATTTACGTATGTATTTTTCTCACCTCAGTTATCTAAAGAGAAAATAAATATCAGAGAAATATTTATTAGAAACATAACTCATGCCATAAAGTAAAATAAAACCAATTCCCATTACAAGTATAAAATAAAGAATTGGAATAGAGAATTTCTCATATCGATGTGCAGGAAAAAAAAAGACTGCAGTAGAAAGGTTGAGTTTTAATCAAGTATAGTATTGTAAATTTTTTAGAAAGAGTTATACAGGATTGACGCCAGGAAAAAAGGTATACAATGAATTAATGAAGAACAAAATACATTTAATAGTCTAATATACTTTTGCTTAAAAAGTTATTTGTTTATCGTACAATTTTTATAACTTTTCCTCCTGAAACATACACTTTTCCCCCTCCCCCTCCCAAGGCAAATCCCAACCAACTTTTTTTTTTGTTTAAAATAGGCCTTGAAGTTTCAATATTTTTTAATTACAACTGAAATATTCAGTAATTTTCGGAAACATAACCCACAAATAAAGAATTTCTTAATTTATTTTTTAAGAAATATAGGTTTTGATATTACAGTTAAAATAGGAAATAAAGTTTTCGCATTTCCTGAAAAATTGTTAATAATGATTAGGATATACTTTGGAAATAAATGAATCATATAACCTTCCTTTTTGCTTATGAAACCCTCTGTTTCCTTTTATCTTTCTGCATACAGGTGGTTC